CTTAGGGTCCCTACTGTAGCTCTATATATACAACATTAGGCTCATGGAAGATGAGAGAATAATCCCACAATTTGGAAAAATCGTCCAGCCCTTTTTCTCTCTCTTCCAAGGAGTAGTTCTATTTCTTGTGCTCCACTGATACAAGATCTAGATAGCTATTTGAGAATACAGTAGAAGATCTTAAGGTATATAGAGATTCCAATCATACATCCAAACCGGAGACCAAAACCAGCAAGTGACCATACCACGACGACCAGGACGACGAGACGAAGAGATCGCCGCCGTCCGCCACCGCACGCGCCGCCACGTGCCGCCGAAAGGTTCCAACTGCCGAGGACAACGCGCGCGCGTGAGAGCGTGTGATTCGACCTTTTTCGGATCGGTCAACGCCGTTGACTTCGCCGTGACGTCAACTTTCTGGATTGGTCAAGTTTGTTCGATTCCGAGAAGATTTGATTTGCGGTCAACTGTTCGGGCCAGCCAGATCTACATAAATTTTAAGCAGTAAGTTTTCTTTATCAAACCTTTAGATCCGCTGCGCATTGGTTTATGTTGAATGTTTATCCATGATTTGTGCATATCGAGATCCTCATATGTCCCAACAGAGGTTTGTACTGACTACCGAGCTCTGAATGCCGCAACTATCAAGGACCGATTTCCTATTCCTAGTGTCGATGACATGCTCGATGAGTTAGCGGGATCACGATACTTCTCAAAGCTCGACCTGAGAGCTGGTTATCATCAGATTCGGCTACACAAGGCCGACATTCCGAAGACAGCATTTCGTACGCATCAGGGGCACTATGAGTATTTGGTTATGCCATTCGGATTGTGCAACGCCCCATCCACTTTCCAGTTTGCAATGAATTCCATCTTCAAATAGTATTTGCGTAAGTTCGTTCTGGTATTCTTTGATGATATCTTGATATATTCAAAATCGTGGGCTGAGCATCTTGAGCATTTGAGAGTGGTGCTCGAAATCTTGAAGGCCAACTCATTTTACATCAAGCCATCCAAGTGTTCATTTGGGCAGAAGATGGTTGAGTATCTAGGGCATTTCATATCCCACGAGGGCGTGAAGGTTGATCCACGATAGATTGAGGCTATGGTCGATTGGCCTAAGCCGTCAAGTTTCACACAGCTGAGGGGATTTCTAGGGCTCACGGGCTACTACAGAAAGTTCGTGAAGGATTATGGAACCATCGCCAAGCCACTGACAGAGATGACTAAGAAAGGCGGGTTCACATGGACCGAAGCTAGCGAGGAGGTGTTTGGGAAACTGAAAGTAGCCATGACTACAACGCCAGTGCTCGCCATGCCAAGGTTTGATGTCTTGTTCGAGGTACACACAGATGCGAGTGACATTGGGATTGGAGCTGTGCTAGTGCAAGAGGGACGACCCTTAGCTTATCTCAGCAAGGCACTAGGCACTACACGATTGGGTCTATCGGTGTACGTGAAGAAAATGCTTGCGGTTGTCGAGGCTGTAAGGTGTTGGGGGCCTTATCTATTGGGGCGACAGTTTCAGATTGTAACCGACCAGCAGCCGCTCAAGCATCTACTCGAGCAAAGGATTGTTACCCCCGAGCAGCAGAAGTTCGTTTCCAAACTTATGGGGTTCGACTTTGAGATAGTCTACCGGCCAGGTCGACAGAATGCAGTAGCCGACGCATTATCCAGATGGACTGATGTAGCTGAGCTTAATGCTATCACTGGACTGGCCTGGACTATTTTGGTAGAAGTCAGGAAGGCGCAAGAGGAGAGCATACATTGCCAGGAGTTGCGCCGAGCGATCGAAGAAGGTAAGACGACTGCTATTGATTAAGAGTTGCACAATGGTCTACTTCTACACCGAGGTCGAGTATTCGTTCCCGACAATGGACAGTTACGCGAGCAAATCATGCAGCACTTCCACGATTCTAAGATTGGAGGTCACTCGGGTATCTACCGCACATGGATGAGAATAGCCAATACTTTCTTCTGGCCAGGGCAGCAGAATACCGTCCGAGATTACATAGCACGGTGCAACGCTTATCAACGCACTAAGGCTGACTCACGACGGCCGAGCGGGCTGCTGCAACCTCTACCGGTACCCGAGGCAATCTGGGAAGACATTACTATGGATTTCATAGAAGGGTTACCGAGTTCTAATGGATTCAACGGTGTTATGGTCGTGGTGGACCGTCTCACAAAGTATGCTCACTTCATACCCATCACTCATCCTTACACTGCAAAGTCCATTGCCAGGCTATTTGTGGAGTACGTGATGAAACTGCATGGGGCACCACGATCCATTATTTCTGATCGAGACCGGATATTTATGAGCAGCTTTTGGTCTAAATACTTCAAGTTGCAAGGGACCAAGTTATCTATGAGCTCAGCCTATCACCCACAGACAGACGGACAAATGGAAGTAACCAACCGAACTCTTGAACAGTACTTAAGGTGCTATGTCCATCAATTTCCAAAGAGGTGGGAAAACTTTTTGCCTTGGGCTGAGTATTGGTACAACACCACTTACCACGAGTCGACCAAGATGACGCCGTTTGAGCTGGTATACGGGCGAAAACCCCCAATGTTGATCAACTATTCGGAGGGGAGTACAGTCAACGATGATGTTGGTCGAGAACTCGAGGAACGAGATCTGATGGTGCGAGAATTAAAGAAAAATCTCGAAGGCTCGATTAACCGAACCAAAGCCTTCGTTGATGGTAAGAGGCGCGAAGAGAACTTTACACCGGGAGAGTATGTTTACCTAAAGCTACGACCATTCAGACAGCGCACAACAACACAAAGGGCAGCGACTAAGCTTGGAGATCGCTATTATGGACCTTATCAGATTCTGAAGCGCATTGATCAAGTAGCTTATCGCCTAGAATTGGCAGAAAGTTCTCAGATCCACCCGATTATCCATGTCTCATAACTCAAGAGGAGTTTAGGAGAAGCGCAGAAGTATTGTGAGGAGTTACCAGCAACCGCAGCCAATGGTAGGGTCATAGTACGCCCAAAACGAGCGATTGAGTACCGCAAGGTAAGGAAAGCAGGATGCTATCGTTCGGAAGTACTAGTTGATTGGGAAGAGTTTCCACTTGAAGAGGCCACATGGGAAGATCTTGATGAGATGTGCGATCAGTTCCCGAACTTCATCCTTGAGGACAAGGAAGCACTTGAAGGGGACGGGAATGATACGGAAGTGGCTAGGCAGCTCAAGAACGCCGCAAGTCGCGCTTACCACGCACGCAAGAGGTTAGCACGGGAAGCAGCCGAAGTGCGCGCACTGGAGTGTAGTGCGCGCGGGGCGAGTATGGGTGGCCAACGTGCAGATATGCGGGAGATAGGCGCAGGCAGATGCGCGCAGACGACGGCGTGCGACGCGCGCGGGACGAGTGCGTTAAGTGTTGAACAGGACCACGGAAGGATAAGGTTATGAGAATCACTGATCGTTGTTGTAACCTAGACCTTTAGTGATTGATGCGTTCTCTTAAACTGTAAGATAATATAAAATAGGCATATATATTTATCTCTTATTTATTTGATTTACCAAGTGATTCCTATTTTACTAGGATGACATACGAGGTATTTTGGTAAGTAAGAATAATTATATGATGTGCTATTATAAATTATTTATGGTCACTATGTTCCAGTGCGCTGGATTGATGACGTCCCCAAAATGAGCTCAGGAATGTACATTATGTTAAACACTGCAGGTTAGCGATTGTCTGACATAATGGTTAAGGTTTTGAGTGGTACTAATTTCGAAAATGAATAAGAAGTTGATTGATTATTTTGTCAGTAATTTAATTAATCAACGAATGTTATATCTTAAAAATCGATCAATCAGATTAATATTATTTAATCATGGAGGCTCGATTTTATTGGTAAAATAGTGGCTAAATGGGGAGAGCAATAATATTACTCAAAACGACATTGATTTTCTTTTAGAATGACATTGATTTTCTTTTAGAATGACAGATAACGGATTGAACAACATGATGAATATTCTGAGAAACACGAAAATAATTTTGCAGATTAAACACTTTTGAATTTAACTGTTAACATTGATATCCTCAAAACGACATTAACTTAAATTCACCGACATCTCAAAGCACCAAGAGTAAGTATGCTACGTGGGTCACCCTACTACTCGACATTCGCAAGAGATGGGCTTTTCTAAGGCCCATTAATCTCCATAAGTCAAAACCAAATTCATGATAAAAGAAATTAATAGTCGGTCTCCATTTGGTCATGCAATAAATTCAGGGACCCCTTGGGGAGTTTATAAATAAATCGCATTCTAAGTGAATCCCATTTCTCGGTCCTGATATCGGACAGAAAAGATTATACGTCCTCCGTGGGCGAGCCATACTCTCAATTATGCTTTCCTCTAACTGTCTAATTTTAGAAATTCGTCAGGGTAATTTCCTACAATTAATTTTAGTGATGTCACCCGTGGGGGAGACAAATTAGAAATGGAGGCCTTAGAAATTTTACAATTAACTGTAATTTAAAATCCCTTCTCAAACTTAGTACAATTTAAATGAAGATTTTTACTTATCTAAATATTTATGCAATTCTAAATTAATCCTATGTATTCAATCTACTCAACTTTGCCCACTGATTGGAGATTGGAGACAATTCCTCTCGCTCTGCGACTCTTTTTCGCCCACCTATTTTATCTCTCTTGGGGTGTCCGTCGTTTTGTCGTCGCCTTCCCCAGTTGGGCTCGACGAGTGCAAGGTGGTGGCTCCCCTGAACTTTGCAGCCCTTTTTTGAGAGAAGTGTCGCACGGGGAAGGGGGTGCTTTTTCGCCGAGAAGACGGTCGTGCCCACTTTTCTGGCTCCCGTCTCTGGTGTCGGAAGTGAGGTTCG